TCTTTTCTAGTGCCTGCTGCCATTCATATTTCTTCTTTGATAAAGCATGTGTTCAAACGTTCAGCATATTTTTAAAAAGGATTTATTTTTCTTATTTTTGAGTGTTTTTTTTACATTTTATATTCAAGTTTGTCATCAGATATATTATTTTCACCCATTCTATAGCTGGCCTTTTACTTTTCTTAGTAATGCCATTTAGATAGCAAATGTTTTCATTTATCAGTTTTTCATGTACCAGTTTATCGTTTATCAATGTGATGCATCAATGTTTTCTTTTATGCTTCATGTTTCTAGTATCCTATCCAAATTCTCTTTTCCCTAGCACAAGGTCATACGTTATGTTAAGTGAAATAAGCCAAGCATAGAAAGACAAATGTACGTGTTCTCGCGCATTCGTGGGAGCTGAAAATTAAGACAATTAAATTCATGAAGACAAATAATAGAATGATAGGTACCAGAGGCTGAGAAGGGTAGTGGGGAGCTGAGGGGACTGGAGTTGATTAATGGGTACAAGAATGTAGTTAGAATGAATAAGACCTAGTATTTGATAGCACCACAATAATTTATAGTACATTGTAAAATAACTAAAAGAGTAAAATTGAATTGTTTGTAACACACAAAAAATGACAAATGCTTGAGGGAAAAGATTTAGTTATGCAATTTATCTCTCCTTGAGTTAACTTTATAAGTTGTATTTTTTACAAATATTTTCATTTCATTGTCAAATTTACTAATATAAAACTGTTGAGGACAGTCCCTCTTTAACCATTTAATATCCTGATTATTTGTAGTGATATGCCCCCTTCTTGATATTATGTGTCTTCTCCCTTCTATACGGTAGTTCATCTTGAGGTCTATCAATATTATTGAGCTTCTCAGTTATATTTTGTTCTGTTGACTTGCCTCTATTGTTGTTCAGTTATCTACTACTTTTGTTTTTTGGGGACAGAGTCTCACTCTGTCACCAAGGCTGGAGTGCAATGGCACAATCTCGACTCACTGTAATCTCCACCTCCTGGGCCTTCCGAGCACTGGGGCCATAGGTGCACACCAGCTAATTTTTTTATTTTGGGTAGAGACAGGATTTCTCCGTGTTGGCCAGACTGGTCTCCAACTCCTGGTCTCAAGCACAACCCTGACCTCAACCTCCGAAAGTGCTGGGATTATTGAGCCTGAACCAATTATGTCTCTCTTTAACTCCTCTCTGTTGTTTCCTTTCTTCTGCTTATTTTGAATGCAATTTGCCATTCTTTGTCCTAATTCTTAAGGTAGAAGATTGCATCATTGACTTGAGGTCTTTATTCATTCCAAATATCACCATTTAAGTTTATAAATTTCTATCTAACTTTTACTTTAGATATATCCTCAGAATTTCTGTATATTAAGTTTGCATTCTTATTCTGTTCGAGATATTTCTTTTTTTTTTTTTTTTTTTTTTTTTGTGTGAGATGGAGTTTCGCTCTTGTTACTCAGGCTGGAGTGCAATGGCGCCATCTCGGCTCACCGCAACCTCCGCCTCCTGGGTTCAGGCAATTCTCCTGCCTCAGCCTCCTGAGTAGCTGGGATTACAGGCATGCGCCACCATGCCCAGCTGATTTTTTGTATTTTTAGTAGAGACGGGGTTTCACCATGTTGACCAGGACGGTCTTGATCTCTTGACCTCGTGATATTTCTTAACAGTTCTTATAATGTCTTCTTTGACACCTTGATTACTTAGTAGGTCTAAATATTTGAGGATTTTTATGAGGTCTGTTATTGTGTTCTAGTTTAATCCTGTTTTGATTGAAAAATATATCTTCTATGAGTTTAATCCTTTAAAATTTATTGAGCTTTATTATGTAATCCAGAATATAATCTATCTTGGGGAATGGTACTTATGTCGTTGAAAAAGTTGTGTATTCTCTGGCTTTGGGTGACGTGCTATATTAATATCAGTTAAGTCAGGTTGGTTGATTTTCTTTTTCAGGTCTTTGATATACTTACTGACTTTCTGTCTACTTGTTCCATCAGTTACTGAAAGAGAGGTGTGGGATTTGCTTCTTTCTCCTTTCATTTGTGTCATGTTTTGGCGCCTTGTATTTTCTAACTCTTATATGACGCTTTTGCCTGTTAATTTTAAATTGGGTGATGGAAACTGTGAATTTTAGTTTCTTGGGTGCAGATTTTGTTTTTTTTTTTTTTTTTCAAGAATGTTGGACTTTCTTCTGTCACACAGTTACATCTCTTGGGATCGGTTTGATCTTTTGGGTTTACTTTTGTGCTTCATAGAGCAAGCCCAGAATGTTCTTCACAATAGGGCTCATTTAGCCTTTCTACTAAGGTGACACCTTTCTAAGGGCTCCGTCCAGTGCTATGTAGCAAGGTCTTTCCACACTAGCTGGTAGTAACACAAAGTATTCCTTACCCTGGGTGATTTCTGGGTTGGCCCAGGGATTTTTACTGGTTCTTTTCTAACTGCAAGTAGTTTCCTCTGACACGTGCAAATCAGCGTCTGGCTAAAGATTTTAGGGGAAGCCTCTGCAGCTCTCTAGAGCTCTCTGTGAAGCTCCCTGCTCACTGGTCCCCTACACCACCAGTTTTCACACTAGGCTTCCTGAGCCCCAGTCTCTGTCTCCTCAACTTAGCAAGCCTGCTGGTCTCTGGTTGGGAACCCTTCTCTGTACTTCGGCATGGAAACCACCTCTGGGAAGCACCAAAGGTAATTCTCAGAGATCACGCCGGGTGTCTCTTCCCTCATGGACCAGCCTGCTCTCCAGTTCTCCAACACCGCCGTTTCATATGCTTTCTGGTTTTCTAGGGTTTTTTATTATTATTTTAAGCAGCATATTAATCTGGTCTCTCCTATTCCATCACAGTCAAAAGCAGAAACTTGCTTCTGTTTTATAATTCAATGAAAACCCTCCCAGATACTATATATCAAAGGTGCTTTTTGTACTCATAAGTTGCTAGTCACCATGATGAAAAAAAATTACATTAAAGGAAGTCTTTTGCAAAGGACATTTACCACCACAATAAAATTTATGTTTTATTCTGAATTTCAGGCTTTAATTTCTTTTAAGAAAGGGGAAAATAGAGTATCCTCAACATCTAAAAACTGGTTTGGCACTGACGGGCAATCCACGGCATTCTCCTATTAAATATTATCTAACAGAACACAACCTCAGACAAGATTACCCTGAGACCATCTTAAAATGAGACAAAGCAAGCCTACTTTATAATTTTTGTCTCAGCATAGACAAAAGCAAGTTCATTGTATGTTATGACCTGAATGTATATGTTCCATAAAATTCATATGTTGAAATCTTAACCCCCAATATAATAGTATTTGGAGACAGGGCCTTTTCGAGGTAATAGAATTAGATTAGATCCTGAGGTTAGGGCTCTTGTGATGGGATTAATGCCTTTATTTAAAAAAGGAGAAGTCAGCGGGGCTCTGTGACTCATTCCTGTAATCCCAGCACTTTGAGAGGCAGAAGCAGATGAATCACCTGAGGTCAGCAGTTGGAGGCCAGCCTGGACAACATGGTGAAACCCCGTCTTTACTAAAAAATGCAAAAATTAGCCAAGCATGGTGGCAGGCACCTGTAATTTCAGCTGTTCAGGAGGCTGATGCAGGAGAATCGCTTGAACCCAGGAGGTAGAGGTTGCAGTGAGCTGAGATAGTGCCTTTGTACTCTAGCCTGAGCAACAGAGCAAGACTCTGTCTCTAAATAAATAAATAAATAAATGAAATTAGAAGCTCCTTTAAAATAAACTAGACAGATCAAGAAAGGTCAAAAGAATTAAGTTAACAATGCTTTGTATCACTGGATAAATTTAATTACTTATTTTAAAAGGCACCATTTAAAATCAGCTCAGTCAGAAAGTAATTGTTGAAATGATAATAAAATAATAAATATGGAAACAAAGAAAATAGGTATTATTATTTCAGATTCTGCTCTTACCAAGTGTTTCATACATTACCTCTAGATTTCAGAGCCAACTGTCAAAGCAGTGTTATTACTCATTTTATAAACAATACCAGGAAACTCTAAGATTTAGAATTTTAAAGCAAAATTCTCAAGATCAAATAGCTAAGTGCCAAACTTTCATTCAGTTCAAACTCAGGTCTATTTGATTTCTAAATCTTTTAGGCTCTCTGATCCTGCTCGGCCTCGTTCCATAAATTTAGTAGATGATAAAATTAAAAATTTATATTTACTACATGATGTTATATGTAGCAGTTTCACAGAAGTGTGGAAGCCTGCTGTTATTTTAAAAAGGTACTCTAGTAAAATATCCCACTTAGAAATAAGTAAACAGATAAGAGAAGAGGTAATAAATATACGGCTATACAACGAAGAGGAAACCAAACTAAAAAAATGATGACGAGGCCAGGCGCGGTGGCTCAAGCCTGTAATCCCAGCACTTTGGGAGGCCGAGGCGGGTGGATCACGAGGTCAAGAGATCGAGACCATCCTGGTCAACATGGTGAAACCCCGTCTCTACTAAAAGTACAAAAAATTAGCTGGGCATGGTGGTGCGTGCCTGTAATCCCAGCTAGTCAGGAGGCTGAGGCAGGAGAATTGCCTGAACCCAGGAGGCGGAGGTTGCGGTGAGCCGAGATCGCGCCACTGCACTCCAGCCTGGGTAACAAGAGTGAAACTCCGTCTCAAAAAAAAAAAAAATTATGGCGAGTCGGCCCGGCGCGCCTCCCTCGGGCGGTGGGGGGCACCGAGTCACCGCGGCGAGCTTGGCTGCGGGAGGGACCGTGCTCCCCGCGTCAGGAAGGTGGAGCAGGAGGCCGACCCCTCCGACCCCCCCGACCCACGTTCTGCGGCTTCCGCGCCAGGAGCCCCTCCCTTTTAGGACTAGTGCGTTGGAGAGCCCCGTGCCCGGCCCCGAGAGGGAATGGTCCCCCAGGCCCAGGGCCTGAAGGAAACTGGGGACGCTCCAGGGACCCCCGACGGTAACCGCGAAAACGCCGGATGGTGTGGAGCAGGCAAACGTGCCATACCAACATGTCCGTACCTGCTGATGGTGCTGTGACCACCTCCCAGATTCCAGCTCCGGAAAGAGACCCTGGTTAGACCGAAGCCGTTGCTTTTGAAGTTACTAAAGTCTGTTGATGCACAAAAAGACACTTCGACTATGAAAGAGGTTCTGTTTTATCTTGGCCATTATATGATGAATAAACGATTATATGGTGAGAAGCAACAACATATTATATATTGTTCAAATGATCTCTAGGAGATTTGTTTGGCGTACCAAGCTTCTCTGTGAAAGGGCACAGAATCATCAGACTCAGGGACACCTGTGAGTGAGAGCAGGTGCCACTTTGAAGGTGGGAGTGCTCAAAAGGACCCCGTGCAAGCGCTGCAGGAAGAGAGACCTTCATCTTCACCTTTGGTTTCTAGGCCATCTACCTCATCTAGAAGGACAGCAATTAGTGAGACAGAAAATTCAGATGAATTATCTGGTGAATGACAAAACGCCACCAATCTGATAGTATTTCCCTTTCCTTGGATGAAAGCCTGGCTGTGTGTGTAATAAGGGAGATACGCTGTGAAAGAAGCAGTAGCCGTGAATCCACAGGGATGCCATCCAATCCGGATCCCGATGCGCTGTAAGTGAACATTCAAGTGATCGGTTGGATCAGGATTCACTTTCAGATCAGTTTAGTGTAGAATTTGGAGTTGAACCTCTCCACTCAGAAGATTATAGCATTAGTGAAGAAGGACAAGAACTCTCAGATGGAGATGATGAGGTATATCGAGTTACTGTGTATCAGGCAGGGGAGAGTGATACAGATTCATCTGAAGAAGATCCTGAAATTTCCTTAGCTGACTATTAGAAATGCATTTCATGCAATGAAATAAATCCTCCGCTTCCGTCACGTTGTGACAGATGTCGGGCCCGTCGTGAGAACTGGCTTCCTGAAAATAAAGGGAAAGACCAAGGGGAAATCTCTGAGAAAGCCAAACTGGAAAACTCAACACAAGCTGAAGAGGGCTTTGATGTTCCTTGTTGTAACTGAGCAAGTGTGAAATTATTACTGAGACAAAGACTAGGCTAAATTACAGGGTTTTTATTGCTGGGGGCCTCGGAGGATTTGTGTTTTTTTAACCCGTGGCCCTGAAAGGAGGGTGTTAAGACATTTGATGTCTGTAAACTACCTTTCGGGCGGGGGTGAGGGCAAGGGGCTTTGGATATTTTGAGGGTTAGTGGACTTTGGACATTTTGTACCTGACTGTAAAAAAACTACAGTGAATGAGTCTAAAGAGTCATGTGTTGAGAAAAATGATGATAAAATTACACAAGCCTCACAATCACAAGAAAGTGAGGATTATTCTCAGCTGTCAATTTCTAGTAGCATTATTTATAGCAGCCAAGAAGATGTGAAAGAGTTTGAAAGGGAAGAAACACTAGACAAAGAAGAAAGTACGGAATCTAGTTTGCCCCTTAATGCCATTGAACCTTGTGTGATTCATCAAGGTCGACCTAAAAATGGCTGCATTGTCCATGGCAAAACAGGACATCTTATGGCCTGCTTTACATGTGAGAAGAAGCTAAAAAAAGGAATAAACCTGGCCCAGCATGTAGACAACCAACTCAAATGATTGTGCTAACTTATTTCTCTTATAGACAGTTGACCTGTCTGCAAAAGAATTATATTTCTAACTATATAACCCTAAGAATTCAGACAACATGAAATTTATTTACATGTATCAACGTGAGAATATGCCTCAATCCATTTGGATTTCTTCTCTTTAGTTTAATTTACCTACTTTGATAGTGGAATAATAAATACTTACTTTGAAGAAAATTTCACTTCTGTGTCTATTTAATATTTGGGTTTTAATATAATTTGAATTGAACAGCTCATCCTTTACCCCAACCCCGAATGTTAAATAATTTCTACTCTGTCTTAAATGAGAATTATCTGGTTTTTAAAATATGTATATATGACATTTAAATGTAACTTATTTAGTAGCTTTCATGTAAAGGGAAACTGGTGGAAAGATTTAATTTTTTGTTTTTTCTTTTTTTGTGTGTGTGATGGAGTCTTGTTCTTACCTAGGCTGGAGTCTGGTAGCACAGTCTTGCAGCCTCCACCTTCTGGGTTCAAGCAATCTCCTGCCTCAGCCTCCAGAGCAGCAGCTAGGATTATAGGCATGAGCCCCAACACCATCTGATTTTTTTTGTATTTTTAGTAGAGACAGGGTTTCACCACGTGGGCAGGGTGATCTTGAACTCCTAAACTCAAGTGATCCACCCGCCTCAGTCTCCCAAAGTGCTGGGATTATAGGTGTAAGGCACCGCACCTGGCCCCAAATTTTAGGTATTCTTAAACCTTCTGATCTTTAGTTTCTCCCTCCAAAATAACTCTTTCTAGGTTAAAAAAAAAATGGCTCTTATATTTGGTGCTACGTAAATAAAAATACTACTTTTCTTCTTTCTTTCTTTAAAAGTTCTTGATTTTGCAATAGAGACAGGGTCTCCCTATGTTGCACAGGCTGGAATCAAACTCCTGGACTCAAGGGATCCTCCTGCCTTGGCCTCCTGAAGTGCTAGGTAGGATTATAGGCATAAGCCACCACGCCCGGCTATAAAAATGTACTTCTTATTCTCCAGCCTCTTTTGTATAAACTGTGATAAGGGATGTGGGTAATTATGTTATAAGTGAAAACATCATTACCCATAAGGCAAAATTTTTTAAAGCCTCCTGAGTGAAATGTGGAATTGTCTTGGGAGTCTAACCTAGTATATCAAGCCCTTTTTCACACAAAAATATCTTTTTGGGATTTAGTGGAACCTGTTGTTTCCCGAGTTGAAAAACAACTGTAGGACACTTCAAGTCCCTTCCTGGGCTGGGTTACTTGGTGCCCAGCCTAGGTTGCAGAGTTTTGCTTAATGCCAGTTTTAGAAATCCATGAATTCAGAAAGGTTAATTCAGAAATTTGATGAACAGAATTGTTTATTTAACAACTAACTGGAAAGATTGCAAGTTTTTTCTGAATTATCCAGAAATTATGGGTCCTTTTCCTTCAAGAATGACAAGGTCAGAATGTGGAATTCCAAGATACCTCTTGACTTCCTCTCCAGCTCCGTGTTGGGTCAGTGGAGACCCATGAGCTCAGCAGCTGTACTGAGAAGTATTAGTTTCTTTTGGGGCCAGTCTACACCCTCTGGACATGTCATGATGTTCATCTGCAGCTATTGCAAGGTGTTCACATTGTGTGAATCCAAACGTCATAAAAACTTTAAAAAGAAGTGCAATTCTCGAAAGGTTAGGTGGACTAAAGCATTCTGTAAAGCAACTGGTAATAATGAGCGTACGGCAGATAATCCATTTGAATGTGAAAAATATAGAAACGAATCTGTCAAATACCAGGAAGAACTAAGGATTAAAATTACTGATGCAGCGAAGACAGATGCAAAGATCAAACAATTGCAGACTAAATTTATAATGAACAAATCGAAGAAAAACAAAGGACTACAGAAAGTTCAGGACATCAAAGAGGTCAGGCAAAACTCATCTTATCTTGAGCCCTCTTGCAGGCAAAGGAAAGCAGCTAGAGGAAAAGATGATACAACAGTTACAGCAGGATGCAGACACGGAAAAGGATTCCTAAAAATCTCATCTGTAACCACTAATATATTTACATTTGAAAAAATCTCTTTTGGAGATTTAAAACCTCTAAATTATTGAATTTTTTTTTTCTTTTTTTGAGGCAGAGTCTCGCTCTATCACCAGCCGCCAGGTTTGAATGCCATGTTGTGATCTCCGCTCACTGCAACCTCCGCTTCCTGAGTTCAAGCAATTCCCCTGCCTCAGCCTCCCGAGTGGCTGGGACGACAGGCGTGCGCCACCATGCCCAGCTAATTATTTTTGTATTTTAGTAGAGATGGGGTTTGACCATGTTGGCTAGGATGGTCTCGATCTCTTGACCTCGTGATCTGCCCACCTCCACCTCCCAAAGTGCTGGGATTACAGGCGTGAGCCACCTCGCCTGGTCTGATTTATTTTTTATATAAGGTCACTCACATGAAAGGTGATTTAAAAATCACCTATGTTGCTGTCTGCAAAACATCAGTTAATATGGATATTAGATTGTATCTCATTGTTAACTCTTCACTGATAGATACATTTATGTAAATCATGAAAATTCTGTTTGTTAAATGCAGAAGTGAAATGTGGACATAAAATGGTTACGCCATTGGTTAGTGATACTAGGCAATGTTTATGTAATAACTAATGACAAAATTCAAAAATTTATGGTTAGTGATAGACATAAAATTTTCTTTGCAGTAAAAATGCCCTTTATTGTTATAGAAGGGAGGATATAAGGAACCAATGGTTTGTATGAAAATAGTTCAAATAACATATTTTGAATTTAATATTTCTTGTTTTGGTTTATTAGCATCTTAGAACATAACAGCCTTATATAATGAAGTCTAGTTTGCTGGACTGTTTTGACCTGGTTTAACTGTTCTGACAAATAGTTGGGAAGGAAAGCTGAATAACCTTTGCCTGAAATGACACTATATAATTTCTGCTTTGGCAAATACTCAGTTCTAACTTGTGATTCTCGGTAGAACAAGGTTTATATTTTAAGCCAAGCAATAATCTACAAGAAGATGTATCTCAGTGCCTTTTAAAATTTCTTGTGTGGTTTTCTTTTTAAAAGCCACACAATACTTTTGTAAAGCAATGTATAGGTAGAACGTCTGTCCAGTATTTGTACACAAAACCACTTTTCTTTAATTTTTTATTTTTTATTTTTTTTAGACAGAGTCTCACTCTGTGCCAGGTGCCAGGCTGGAGTGCAGTGGTGCGATCTCGGCTCACTGCAACCTCCGCCTCCCAGGCTCAAACAGTTCTGCCTCAGCCCCCAGAGTAGCTGGGACTACAGACGTGTGCCACCACGCCCAGCTAATTTTTATATTTTAGTAGAGACAGGGTTTCACTATGTTGGCCAGGATGGTCTCTATCCCTTGACCTCATAATCCACCCGCCTTGGCCTCCCAAAGTTCTGGGATTACAGGCATAAGCCACCACTCCGAGCCTACAAAACTTTTAATGGGTACAAAGGTAAATTAGGAAGAATAAATTCCGATGTCCTATTGCACAGTAGGGTGACTACAGTTAATTATTGAATGTTCTTGCTACAAATAAATGATAAATGTTTGAATTGATGGGTGTGCTAATTACACTGATTCGATCGATACACATGGTATGTGAAACAGTACATATGCCATAAATATTTACAATTATGTATCAGTTTAAACTTTTATAAAACATTTATAATGTAAAAAGTATCCAACTGTGTAGATTAGCTTCTTGATTTATATTTAAATATGAATCTTAAGCAAAATAGTGAAAATAACTCTCTTGGTTTAGTGTTTTTCTCCCATGTGTGATTTATATATACTTACGATAAAATCAACTGAACTGTAAAAAAATTAATAATAATGAGGACCAGTTAAAGTGGATTATAACACTTCTACTTCAATGGTAATATGAGGAACATGGCTAGAAGATACAATTTTCACAAAAGAGATATTTGGTGCCTACTAAGGAGGCAAGACAAAAGAAATTTTATTGGCAACAATAATCAATAAAGATACGTCAGCTCAATCAGTGAAATAAAGGCAGAAATTGTAGATGAAGAATAACTGAAAGCAGGATGATTAATTGATGTAAGCATTATTAAAATGTGCTTTCTAAGAAAATATTAATTACTCTTGTTATAAAAAGTAGAGTTATTAAAGAGTCCTCTGTGCCATCTACAGAGCAGAAACGTCCAGCTAGCAGGATATGGATGTAAAAGGAGAAAATAATACCTAACCAAAAGGTCTTCACCTTTGGTAAAAGTTCATTATATCCTCTCAAGTCTGTTCATTTTAACACACACTCTTCTAGTGTTATCATCTATTTTCTTTCATAAAAATTTGATGATTGTAATTCTTACAAAGATGATTACTCCTCCCTATAATTGACACAACATTGACACAATCAATATAACATCAGGTTATTCTTCAGAAGTATGTAGCCCTTATTGATGCTTGTAGTAACATTTTTGTTTAGTCTGACATTGTTGTGTTTACCAAATTTCTCCTGATGTAGCCCACACACAGAAAATAACCTAACGTAACATAAAGAGAACATTTATGCTTGAAGCAAATGTAGTTTGGCAAATTTTCAATCAGCAAACAATCAAGAAAAGAATAAAGCTAACAAACCCTTCAACATACCTTCCTCACCTCCCAATCATCCTTTTCAGGGTCAAAGGCTATGTCATGAAGACAATAGGAAAATCAAAAATCGTATTTTTATACTAATTGTGAATATTCATGTCTGTAGCAGGATTGGCATTTCTTTTTTTTTTTTTTTTTTTTTTTGAGATGGAGTTTTGCTCTTGTTACCCAGGCTGGAGTGCAGTGCCGCGATCTTGGCTCACTGCAACCTCTGCCTCCTGGGTTCAAACAATTCTCCTGCCTCAGCCTTCTGAGTAGCTGGGACTACAGGCACACGCCACCATGCCCAACTAATTTTTATATTTTTAGTAGAGACGGGGTTTCACCTTGTCGACCAGGATGGTCTTGATCTCTTGAC